TCTGTGTCTCACTCTCTGCATCCCTCTGTGTCCCTCGCTTGTGTCCCACTCTGTGTCTCACTCTCTGCATCCCTCTGTGTCCCTCGCTTGTGTCCTACTCTGCTCCTTTCTGTGTTCCTCTGTGTTCCTCTGTGTTCCTCCTGTGTGCTTCACCCCATGTTCATCTCAGTGTTCCTCTCTTTCCTGTTTTAATTTGTAGTCCCTGCTCCTGGTGTGTTTTCCCCCGAGTCTTCCTGCCCTCGTCAGGCTCACCTGTTTGTCCTGTGCCACCTGTCTTGAGTTACTCATCAGTTCAGTGTGTATTTAAGTCTTTGTGCTCCCCCATGTATTTGTCGATTAATTGTTCTTGGATGCCCATGTGTTGTGTCACCTCTCGCCACGTTCCCCTTAAGTTGTCAGTGTTTCATGTCTTTCCCTGTGCTGTTTTACTTTATTTCATCTTCAAAACACTGGTCTGCTTATTTTCAATATGAATAATAGAACAATATGATTTTAATTAAATCCTGAAAGCAACAGTATAACAGTTTCAATCATAAATACTCTTTAAGCAGCATAATTTAACATATGGCACCAAGAAAAGTGGACAAAAAAGAGTCGCAATCTGATGGCTCTCAGTAAATTACAACAATACGCAGATGACCCCACATGGCAGCTAAGAATTCTACCACTGAACCACCAATCGGACAGACCCTGTACAAAAGTAAAGAGTTTATTGCTCAACAAAAGCAACGAAGATCAGGCACTGGAGGCAGGGACAGGCTGCCTGGTAGAAATCCCAGGCAAGGCATGAGTGCTAAATGCATGGCGGAAAAACTCTGCACTCAAGACACAATGTAGGCAATCAGCCAGGCACACAGGATAACCTGAGCAGATGGAGAAAAAAACATGAGTAAGGTACTTAAAAAACAAGAACATGAAGATTCACAATGAACAAACCCACAGAGCAACTTCCTAACAGGACAGAATTATCTGCAGAGAGCAGCAGAGTGAAGACCAGGCCTTTAGGGGCAGGTTGATGAGGTGAGTGGAAGCAGGTGTTCCTTGTTTGCTGCAGAAGAAGCCAGCCATGCCCCCTGCCACACACATGCCCTGCAGGAGAAAGAACAGAAAAGGGAGGGGGGAGTGAGAAAATGTGTAACCGGCTGGTAATAAGGAAATGCACTTTTTCATTTTTGTGTGCTTCAGGTAAAAAAATTATTCAATCACCGTTGTGTCTGCATTTGGTGTTAAATAGAGTGAAGTAGCCCCCCGTTTTCCACTGCTGTTTCCGGTTAAGGTATGTGGCGTGCTCTGCAACATATTGTGTTGAATGTTGCAGGCTGATTAAATAACACTGTATTTCAGGCCCATGTTAGAATTCTGGCCGGTCCAGGGATTGTGCACCAGTGGTGCGAGGCACCGGGCTCAGAGAGCGCAGAGCTAGGCAATGCTACTTAAGGGGTCGTGGGAATTTATGGACAGCTCAGTTCACCCCTTTATGTTGGTTTATTAAATTGCCTGATATCATGCCCAAGTTAATGAGTGTATTAACCCCATGTATTCTTTCTGTTGTAGATGAAATGCTACCACTCTTGTCTTGCCTTATAGTTGGTTATTAGTTTACTTTTTGTCTGCCATAAGTTGCAGCATTTCCTATATTGTTTAGCATTTAGTTGCATTAAATTAAGGTTTGTTTTGCCTTTGTGTGGGTTTTTTGTTCAAAATACAGTAAGTTGTGCTGCTCTGCTCAGTAAACTGGGGATTATTAGTGTGCATTTTAAGGTGTAAAGTTGTTATTTATGTGAACAGATGGATTAAGAGCACAGAGTTGTTGAGTGGTGGTAATGATGGTGGCATAGGATATTCTTTGGGGGAAAGTCTCATGGTGGTGGTGTTGGTTAACAATCAGTTAGGTAAGATCTCTTTCTAAGACATCCAATTCGGTACATACAATAACCAACAAGAACAAAAACACAGAATATTCACAGAGAGGTTCCTGAACATTCCTGAAATGTTCTACAGATACTGACACCTGCTTCTTGACCTGAGTGGCCAACTGTGCCCGGTAAGAAAGGAGCAAGGTTTGTATTTCTCTTTCAAGCCTGATGTAGCTATGTCTATTACTTTTAATGTGAACAATCAACTGCAAGACAATAAAGAGAAGGTCTGAGCCCATGCAACTCTATCCATAAACACTTTTTGTATGTGATGTGGTTGACCAACACAATGAGCAGACAAGTTCTGATCAAGCAACATCTGATCCTAAAGCGAGATTCATACTTATGCTTCAATCTTTAATCTGCTTCAATCCCCTTCTAAAATGAGATACAATACCTGTTTTTATGCCATGGAGCTATAAGATTCAGAGAAATTGTGCTCCATCCCTCCAAGGTGGAAGCACATTTCTCCTGACAGCACATGTTGGCCTATCACCTTACTTTGACACTCACTAAATGCTATTTTAACTCCACTAACTTGTTTCATGTCTGTCATTTCAAGGAGGTAAGACATTCAGAAGAGGTAACTATGTTGAGGGTCCTGGTTAATAGTTTTCTCACTACACGAAACAGCAATACTGCATTTGAGATAATCATCACCTGGTTAATAGCTGATGATACCTGTAAGCCTTTGACCCACCCTGCTATGGTGTGACGCATTAGGGTCACAAGCAATCTCAGGATAGGCAAAGGGCCACAGAGGTGAAATAGCTGAATTCTCCCACTACTATGTTAGAACCTAAAGGAGGATCTAGAAAGAGAAGTGACCTGTTTTCAAGAAACCAAAGCAAGCCTATGCACACWTGTGWGCAGRGGTTTGATACTGACATGTTTTACGTTGAGGTACAGGACAGTGGATGTCACCCACAAAGAGGAACTAACAGTTCAATAGTGGAGAATGTGGGCATCGATCCCACTACCTCTCACATGCAAGCGAGAGGTAGTGGGATCGATGCCCACATTCTCCAGAGAGGGTTCAATATCTTAATTTTACTCTGGTAGAGCAAGTTTGGAAATTCTGTTTGACAAGGTCTTCTTCTAAAATGAGATACAGTACCTGTTTTTGCGCCATGGASTGATATGATTCAGAGAAATGGTGTACCATCCCTCCAGTGAGGCTCAGACAATTGCAGTGTCACCACCAAGGGGGACGGACATTTCTCCTGACAGCACATGTTGGCCTATCACCTTACTTTGACACTCAGTAAACGC